TTTTACTGATTACTAAAGTCAGTTTACGAGTCAGAAATTAGACTAGCCACTTCTAATTGTATCTACCAGTTCAACTGCACTTGTGGAGCGAGTTAGATTGGCCGTTGCTCTAGGAACTTGATTTTTCGTGCTCACTCGGGAACATCTATCAGTGTGGCTAATTTTCTGTTAGTTAGCTTTTCTTTCCGCTGGTTGTTTCTTAATTCCTATAAATCAAAACAAGTGTGCTATCCGACTTTAGTGACTGAAATCTGTCAGACTTTAAGCTAAGATATGATGGGGTTTACTGCTCTTCAACAGCAGATAAGCGTATGCAATTCAGTCTTGCTGAAGGTCACACTGTTTCCACTAACAGCTTAACGATCTGTTACTTAAGTATATTACTAAATATATTCGTATAACTTAGACTGCTTTAAAAGAAACTGCATGCTGTATTCCAACGTAGACAATTATTGTACTGTTTAATTGAATTTTAGATTTTCCCACCTATCGATTGGACTGAAGTGCTCGGTCTCAAGTTGACATATCGGCTTCTTGTGCAAATGCTTCGACGATGTCTGGGCATGTAATTAGAAGTTAATTGATGGATGGTGACTAGTAGTAGAATCCAGGATGCGCATTCCTTACTATTTGGGACTCGTCATCTGGATGTACCTGAGACTAAGCACTTCGGTCAAATCAATCGACGTAAAATCTAAAATTGAATTAAACAGTTTATATGACCAGTTGCACAAGAGGTGGCTCTCGTGGCCCAAGTGGTCTAGTGGATAACGCTCTGGCGATTGAAACTATGGGCACTGGGTTTGAGCCTCGGTGGGAACATCATCACTCACTGCGGATTGCAGGTACATCCAGATGACGAGTCCCAAATAGGACAATATGCGCATCCTGGATTCTACTGCTAGTCACCATCCACCAATTAACTTTGAATTATTGTACTGAACCTATAAAATATTGATTATTTATTGGGAGGCAAAAGCAGAAATCTTATAAATTTCTACGCTTTCTTAAATGACTCTTCCGAGTTTTTATATTAATATTAAAAACTACCGTAACAGCATATAGCAGAAATTGAATCTACTAATTTCAGGCATACCTTTTCGTGAAAACAAGCTACTTATAAATTGATCAGTAATATAAAGGCTTTCATAAACATAAAATTATGTTCATTATTTGAAAGTAACATAATTTTGGTGGAAATATTTCTCTTTTTGTGTTTCACACTGTCTGTGTGTTGTTTACTTGCCTTATTTTTATTACCACAAAGTTAATTATATTTTATTCATAATTAGCTAAGTTAATTAGCGCGCCAGACTTAATTTTTTATTCCTTTTCGTTCCCAGTGGAACATACGTCTTCAAGCTAGGGCTTGATAGCAGTGTTGTTTAGTTTTACGGGGTGGCGTTGCTAGCCCCCCTCTTTTCCGGTATTATTACTGGCTTAGCGAGTTAAAGGAGTGCGTTGGTGGCCTTGGATCGAACCCCGGACCAGTTGCGTGGTTAGGGAGCATTCCACACTTAATTACGTATTACAATTGACAAACACACACACGTACACGTTGAACAATGAATGCAATGTATATTATTAGTTAACGCATAATTTTATGTTGTAAAGCAAGTTACATTTTTTTGTGGCTTTATATTTCTTATTCATATTTTTTACAAACTTTACAACAACATCTGTGTTTAAATGTAACACATAAAAGTATAAAAATGACGGTGAATAACCTGTCGACAGATTAAATTGTGTTTACTCTACGGAAAAATGAGGTAGAATGTTCCACGGATGGTTATTATTATTCCCTTCGGTTCCAAGTGGAATGTAAGGCTTCAGCTAGCTCCACTATTACCTAAAACCTTTAGTTTCTTCCTCACACGGTTTCCTCCGTGTCACTGACCGACCACCACCCAACTCATCATTCCCCTGCTTTCCATGTGATGTCACTCAACGGTCTCAACAACGTGTGTTGGATCTATCGCTTACTTTATCTGCCCACTCTTAAATCTTTTCCAACAAAATCCCATTTCAGCTAATATTACTTGTGGAGGAAGGCTGTGGTTTGGTATGCGTACCACGTGTTCTAGTCATCTCAGTCGATGTAACTGTACAACCTCACCGACTGGCTTTCCCTCCTAACCTAACAATTAATGCCAAGTCACAATATCCCACACTATATTACACCACCGAAAACGGGTGGAGGTCGTTATCACGCACAGTTCACTTACGTCTCCTACACATAGCTGAAGCTGTTGCAATAAGATCGACTAAACCGGAACTTTTTATCCAAAAAAGAACACGTCCAGACGCTGTTCCTACCATGGCCAAGCTTGGATGAATGTTTCTTCTCACCAAGAGTGCCTTTTTCCCTTATCCCTCTTGTTTTGTTTACTTTGGTTTGCTTATTATTATAAACATTAATTGATGTCATTTATACGTTTTATCTTGTGATTAGCTAATAATGAGAAGACCAGCATCAATCTGTTGCTGTCAGCAATCTCATTAGTCCTTCTGAAGTGCTTAGACCTTCAACAAATTTAAATACATGTTGTAAAAGCAGAGTCTAAAATTTAAATGAATTTTCCCTTATCCATCAGAAATTACCGAAAGAATACCAAGTATTGTTCAAGTGACATATAATCCTTCATTCTTATAGAAAGTCACTGAGGAGAGTTTACGATTGATAACTCTTCAACTTCACTGAAGCTAAGCTTATCAGATTTTTACTCTGCGACAATAACTTCACTACGAATAAATAGTTTATAGTCTAGACAAATTCACTTATGCCTACAAATAAATTTCCAGCTATTCAGTGTCGAATACAAAATATAACTGAATAAAACGAAACTAGATGTTGTTTCCATTTCACAGGATGATGATTGGAGTTCAGATAGGTGTTTGTTGCAGCAGATTTCCAATCAGTTGCTTATGTGTCACCAGACAGACAACAGTTGGGAGTATGTTAATAGAAATTTCTACTTCCCTCTATAACTGCAGTACACTTGTTAATATTCAGGTCTCAGTGTAACAGAGAAAATATATGTGACACAAATAACTTGTCAGCCGTCAGTATAACGGCCAGGTATGTCTGACTTCCATAGTATTTAAATTCCAGGGGAAAATATACAAACAAACTGAGGGAGTTGCTATGGGGTCACCAATATCCCCTGTTATGGCAGATATATTCAGGGATAGGTGGGAAAGCATAGCGATTGAAACGTTCACCCCCACCCCAAAAGTATGTTGGAGGTATGTAGATGACACATTCACTGTACTTAAAATACAGGATATAGATAGATTTTTCGAACACACTAACTCAAAGGTGGAGGCAATTCAATTCACTTATGAATTGGAAAGTCAGGAAGGGGAGCTTCCAATCTTAGATTGTAGCGTAAAAAGGAAGTCAAACACTAGTTTTTACAGGAAATCCACACATCCAAACTGATATTTGGATTTCAGATGACTCCACCCTTTGTCAGTAAAAATAAGATTCGTGAAATGTTTAAGTAATAGGGCAGACAAACTAAGTAGTAACAAGGAAAATCTAAAACAGGAAGTGAGGCATATAAGAGAAGCTTTGAAACTTAATAATTACCCTGATAAATTAGTCAGAAAGTATGTAGGGAAATGTAAAAATAAAATAAATAATTATAGTAGTGATAGGGATAACAATAATGATGACGACATGCTTGTCAAACATGCGCAGGATAATGACAACTTCAACAATTAGGAGTCTAAATCACCAGTAGTAATTCCATACGAAGAAGGAACTTCAGAAACCTCATTCAGAATTCTTAATAAGGCAGGAATAAAAGTGGCTGGCATTCAAACCACTCACAAACTCAATTAGAAACAGGCTTTTTCGGTTAAAGGATCACTCCTGTGGAGCCTTTAAAACAAAACAATTTAGTTTATCTAATACCCTGCCTGCAATGATTGTCAGGTCAAATACATAGGTCAAAATAGTAGAATAGGGGCAGTCAGTCAGACTAGCCGAACATAAAAACCTAGCAAAATATAGATTAGTTGACCTGAATAAGATAAGAAATCTAGAGAGTAGTTCAGCTATAGCACTCACCACATACAATTACACACAACCATACAATAGAATGATGGGATAAGATGACAGTTTTAAAATCTAATGTCACAGGATGGAGGGAGAGATTGATGACGGCGGAAGCTTTGTTTATCGAATCAACTACAAATACGTGTAATAGGAATGATTCAACAATACCTGTCCCAGGTATCTGGAAAATTCTACTACCCCAACGACGACAAATAGGAGAGAACAAAGAAAACCATAAAACTCAAGTTTTGAAGTCGTGTGATTATAATTGATTGATATGATTATGAACAATAAATTTTGTTCGAAACATTGTCATCCAGTAAATAATACTGTTTCACTGTGTGATATATCTAATAAACAAACTAATATGGAATTTTCAAGTATTGGTTTGGTAGGGATTTTGTTTAATTATAATTGGAGGATTTCATCATGAGCTGACATCAGTTAGAGAACCACTGGAAAACCTGGGAGTACTGGACAGCTGCTTCGCTCTAGTTTGGGACTCTTCAGCAGTACGCGCCCACCGGGATTCGAACCCAGGACCTTCTGGTTACAAGGCGAGCTCGTAGACCATTGAGGCACTGGGACCCGATTCAATGGTCCTTGAATTCTAACTTCTGCCAATTCCCATGTTTTCCAGTGGTTCTCTAACTGATGTCAGCTCATGATGAAATCCTTCAATTATAATATGGAATTACTTACTACCACAGTGCCCAAGTTTTACACATATACTTCCCTCTATAACTGCAGTACTCTCAAGTATAGATATTTTCTAAATCACATAAAAAGTCAAATAACTAGAAAAAGTTTATCGTTTTGATTTTTAACTGTGTTACCAAAAACAGTAAATCATCGTGTCTAGATGAAATAATAAAACCCGGCTGGATTTAATTCTACAGTTAAAAATTCTTTCTTTTTTTTCTTCAATACAACTTACTTCGGTATTCTCACTAAATCATAAAAGAATCTTTCAGCAGGATCCATATAATCTACATTGCCTTGAAAGCTTTTAAAACTTTTTATTTCTTCATCTGTTGGCAATAATTTGATTAAATCTCTCAGCCTTTCTGAACCGATTAAACTACCGTCACACTGATTGATTAAATCTAGTAAACTGATATGACTGTTCCGGAACTGACGTAGAAATATGTTGACATTCAGACATCTTTGACTTTCCAGTAAATTTGCCTGGGAGACAGGAGTGTGAGAATAAATAAATAAAAATGTAAATGTTTGGACGAATGATTCGTATTCAGTCATAAGGTTCAAGGTCACTGTAATTTTACTGTTAAACAGCCAGAAGAAATAACACAATGAAATGAGCTTATTTAATTTGAAGTCGAAATTTCCCGTTGATTGGTCGGAGTGAAGTGCTCGACCTCAGGTTGACATGTTGACCCCTTGTGCAGATGCTTCGATGATGCCTGATTATTAAACTTGAAGTAAATTTGTGGATAGTGACTAGCAGTGGAATCCAGGATGTGCATTTCGTCTGCATTCCTCAGTGAGTGATGGTGTTCCCACCGGGGCTCGAATCCATTACCCATCGTTTCAAACGCTAAAGCGCTATCCACTAGACTACTTGGGCCACGAGATTCGTTTCTTATACAACGGGTATCACTAATTATTTAATTCATTTTGGACCTGGAGCTGAGAGCTATTGCACAATAGGTAGCTGCCGTGAGCCGAGTGGTCAAGTGGGTAACGCTTCGGCGTTTGAAACGATGGGTACTGAGTTCAAACTATCATTGACTGGGGAATGCAGACACATCCAGATGGCAAGTCCCAAATAAGAAGAAATGCGCATTCTGGATTCAAATGCTAGTCACTGTCCACCAATTTACTTCAAATAAATTGGGCTGTTTACAAAGAACACTCGTAAATTTTGAGTTATTCTGCATATTTTACATAAATTTCTGGATTCTACATTGTTTCACTGATTTCATCTAAAACAGAAACCGATGGATAACAAATCTACTGTTTCGTTAATTACTTTTTAAATGTTATTTAAATCAAGTTCAGACACATTCACCACTCAGTATTATACTGTTGTAATTCCATTATGGGTAAATTTTATTTTCATAGAGTCTCACAGTGTTATACAGTAATATTTACTGATGACGTTTCGAGCACAATTTATTGCTCATAATCATATCAAGGTAATCACACGACTTCCTAAATTCATTTATATAGTTCCATTATTTTTCACTTGATTTCCACTATATAAATGAATTTAGGAAGTCGTGTGATTACCTTGATATGATTATGAGCAATAAATTGTGCTCGAAACGTCATCAGTAAATATTACTGTATAACACTGTGAGACTCTATCAAAATAAAATTTACCCATAATGGAATTACACTCTACCACAGTGCCCAAGTTTTATTCTTATATCAATTATACTGTTGTCTCCAAATCGAAAATGAGTTTCTTACTCATTAAACCAAATGTTCATCATCAGTTGTCTTTCTCCGTTTTAAGGAGAACGTTTCGTCTGTAAATAAAGTGGTCGGAGGTTTCGGAGATGCGCTTTTAAACATTTACCCGTATATAATTGGACAAAATTTAACAGGTACTGGGATGAATTTATCTATTCCTAATTACCACGAGACATCATGTTCCCCCATACGAATTTAACTTATTAATTTGTTGCTTTACGAGTTGATCACGGATTGATATCAGTTAGAGAACCATTGAAAACCAGGGAGTACTGGACAGCTGTTCCATCCTAGTTTAGGAATCATCGGCATTATGCACACACCGTCAGGGTGTGCAAGGCAAGCTCGTATACCATTCAGCAACTGGGACCCGATTCAGTGGCCAGCTCATGATACCTAACTTCTACCAATTCGTGATTTAGCGCGACCCTAACCAGTGTCGTCGGTGGGAAATCCATCTTGACACGTGACATCTGGATGGACCTCACTGGTCACGACTTCTCACTAGAACTCCAGGAAACTCCATCCTGTAGCAAGTCACTAGCGAGCATCAGATATCAATCCGTGATCAACTCGCATGAATATGTTTAAAACTTCACGGCAGGCTGTTTCACTTTCAAACATAAAATGTTCATTTACCATTGGAGGTTATTCACTTCAGTAGATGTAACAAAGATCAGTAAAATAAGAGCACTGTATATAGATGACTAACATTGATCGTACCACAAATGGATTTCATAATTTAGCAGCTCCGTGTGTAATACTTTAACATCAGAAAGGAATACTAGGTTTGATTCTCTCTAGTTGCAGGTACATACAGCTTACGAGCTCTATATAAAATGAAATGCAGATCCTCGACCTCTTTCATTTTCTTATCGTTCGTAGGGGAACTTATGGTTACCAGCTTTTTGAAGTTTCAGTAGCGTTGGTGTTGTTTTCTACGAACTTCTCTCTTTTACCTGACTTATCATTATTATTCCTTATTCACCAATGTACCACTTATGGAAACAGTGGACTTTGTATGCGAAGAACTCATAAGACGAAACATCGATGTTGGCATTCCCAAATCTTTTATGAAAGAGCTTCTCTTGAAATACACAATGAATGTCCGCTTTTTATTTAATAAGGAACAATATAGACAAATCGATGGTGTGGCAATGGGGTCACCACTAGGACCCATTCTAGTTAACATTTTCCTTGAGAAACTAGAAAATGGGCCTTTGAAAGATGTTATTGATGAACCTGAATTCTATTGTCGGTACATGGATGACACATTTTTGATTATGAAAAATGAGGAGGAAGCAAAGAACATCCTGGATAAATTTAACGAGGTTCATCCTGCAATAAATTTTACTATTGAGAAAGAAAAAGACTCTAGTATTTCATTTCTAGACGTCCTTATGACAAGAAAAGAGGATGGCACAATAAGAAGAAGTGTATATAGAAAACCTACATCAACCGGTCAGTATACTCATTTTGTCAGCTTCGTGCCCTTAAAATACAAACGCAATCTGATAAAGTGCTTGGTTCACAGAGCAAGAGCAATCTGCTCGGATGAATGTCTTGATGAGGAACTTAATAATAATATAAACGGTTGCTGAGTGAAAGCGGTTATCCAGAAAAGTTTATTGATAAGAATATGAATCTAAAATCAAAGCAACCCAAGATACCAAGAATTCCTAAAAAGGCCTTATTCTTACAAATTCAGTTCCTCGGGGACAACATCAGCGAGATACCAACACAGCGCCTTAGAAATGTGCTAAAAAGAGCATTTCCTGCTGCTAAATTACGCTATGTCTTCAAAACCACTCATCTATTGCGTTCGGGAGTTAAAGACAAACTGCCTAATTTCGCCTCTTCCACACAGCTTCTGTGTGTAGCGTGGTTAAGTAAAGGACAAACTAAATCTATTCGTGGAGCCATTCTATCGCATCTTATGGATACAGAACACAAGATTGACGTTAACCAGGCTTTCAAATTCATCCACCGCATATCATCAAATCTTAACTTCGCCGTAGGAGTCCGTCTACTTAATATTGCTGAGGCCGTTGGGCTCCATATTAAGAAGCCTAATTTATGTGTCCAAAAGAAGCTAGCTCAGACATTATCCTAACCTTGGCCATCTAGGCTCCAATGATCATCAATTTTTTGTATAAATTTCCTTAATTTTAGTTGATATTCTATTTGCTATTATACTTTTATTATTATTATTATTATAATTTAAGCATCTTTAATCAACTGTAATTCCATTGATCCGATTCAACGAATCGATATTATTTGAGAAACACTAATATTGTTATTGACTACCATTCTAGAATATTCTATGTATGTAATCATATATATATATATATAATTGTAGAGCCAGAAGAGGAAATTATCGAAAAGGATATTTATTGCTCAATTATTTTGTGTTTTATTGACTAGTAAACCAATGGGGGTTAAGGAACGTGTCTACTGGGAATCGAACCCCGAACCACTTGAGTAGAGCTGGCAAGCATTCTTCCACTGAATCACGGACGCAGCAAGTCTCTTTCATCGTCAAACAGTTATTGATATAATTACTACTAAATGTATCTTGTTCATTCAAAATCAATTGTTGTCTTAATTTTTATTTGTCACACACAACTAGTTTAATGGACGAAACTGTATTTCCTAGAAATGAAAATATAAGTTTCAAAATTGCTATGTCCTACGACCAGACATTGATTACAGTTATAACTCAATGAAGTCAAATACTTCAGTTAAGCAGTAGTCCCACTGCTTTGAAAATTTCTTTTAAAAAAGATTCAACGTGTTTATGTAAGCATTAGCAATTACCTCATAGTGTTTTTGAACAAATTCCATCGTACGAGAGGATGAAAGTGATCTTCCACGTGTAGGATAAGAAGAAGAAGTGACATCAAGTCGTTTTGGATTATTGATTTGAAATACTGTCAACTTTTTATCCTGTACAACAGTATCATTATCCCTGGCCATATGACAATACGAGCTACTATTGTTGTTATTAGCTTCATCTATGTGTGTATTTATACATTTTTGTGAGAATACCTCATCATTTAGGGATATTTTCACTTCTGGACATTTTACAGTCTGTTTTTGTTGTTGAACAAATAAGACGTTTAATTTAGCTAGATTAATGAAATTGTTTGCCTGCTTTGACATTGTCGATCGATGATTAGTAGTATCCTTCTGAAGCAAGCTGGTCCTATTCCATACACTGATCTGCTCAGATGTAGAAATTTTAATCCATCGCAAGGGTTTCAACTTTTGCCTGTCAATCTCACTACCACATGTGTTATTTACCGTCTGATTGGAAGAAAGGGAAACGTTATTGCCTGCTTGTTGTTGATTTCTAGATAAAAAATTATTCGATATAGTTATTACCGGCGACGTTGAAGAAGTGATCAAGGGTGGTGGTAATGGAGGTGGAGGAGGTGGGAGTAGCAGTGGAGGTGGCGGAGGTGGCGTACAGCCTGGTGCAGAAGACATAGAACTTGATGTATCACTTTTCTTTGAACTGACTAATTCTTCTTCTTTTTCATCCATAGTGTTTGATTCAAACTTGCAATTATGACTACTACTATAAGTTTTCAACTTGGAAGTACTGGACGATAATGGAGGGGAGGGGGAGGAGGAGGATTAACTTCAACACTACTGGATTCCTGTGAAGCGTTTTGCGACAGAATTATAGTTTTATTACTTTCATCGGTGAATTGTTCACTTTTTATTGATTTATTTGTCAATTCATTATCATCAGAACAAAGAGATTCAAAGTCACTGGATGATGTACTTCCGTGCATTTCATTAGTAGTTTTCTCACACATCAGAGGTGTAGATTTATCAGCATTATTATTATTATTATTATTATTACTGTTTATTACAGGTAGACTGGCACCAAAGCAATAATAGTAAGGATTATGTATATATGAAATATTCAACAAATATTATTATTATTATTATTCATGATGATATTTGACATTTCTGGAAAGCTTCGACTCCTGTGAATTGATTTTGTGTTTATTGGCGTTTCATTAGGGAGAAAATTATCTTCTTGTTGCAATGTTGTTTCAGTGGAACATATGAGTAAATGACACTTTTCAATAATTTGTTTCCATATAATGATGACATGTTTTGGATTGTACATTTTTAATGTATTTGCAGGTGAACTCTTCATGTTGACATTATTTGGTTTTATTAGAAGCAGCGATTTAATTAAATGTTGTAGAATTATTAGAAAATAATTTTCTAGTATGTTATTGCGATTCAGCTGAAAAGTGATCAGAGTTATGAACAGGTTAGTACATCATAATTAAATGACTAAGAAAAGTAGCAGTAGTTTAAGCGAAAGATAGATAATACTAAAGTGTTGATTTAAGGTGTCAGGAATTAATCTATAAGTATCATAAAATTTAATCTACCTTTATGGAGTAAGACAAGACTGCCTACTATGTCCAATGATTTTCCTGATTGCAGTAGATTGGATAATGCGACAAACAGCGAGCAATGAGGAAACAGGCATAAAATGGACTCACACAAAAAGAAACTTGGAGGATCTGGATTTCGCCGATGATATATGTCTGATTTCCCACAAACTGGAAGATATGTAAGCGAAAAGCAACAAGTTGGCAGAAGAAGCGTCAAAGATAGGCCAACACCACCAGCAGCAACAACAACAACTACCAACAACGATCAGAATAAATGGGAGGAACCTGAAAGAAACAACCTCTTTCACCTGCCTATCTGGGAAGCATCGTTTCAACTACAGGCGAAACCGATGAGGATATCAAAGCAACAGTAGGAAAAGCAAGACAAGCTTTCACTACTCTCAAGTCTGTGTGGAGGTCAACAAAACTCAGCATCAAAAATAACATCCGGATTTTCAACTCCAATGTGAAGTCAGTCAGTGTTACTATACGGATCAGAGACTTGCACTGCGCGTCATAAAGACCACCTCAAACAAACTACAGACCTTCATTGACAGCTGTCTTCGCTCAATAGTACTCAAGATCAGATGGCTGGCCAGAAAAGATCAACAACAGAGATCTCTGGCAATGAGTGAACCAACCAGGAACTGATTGTGAAACAAATAGGCAGGAAGAGATGGAGATGGATTGGCCATACTCTGAGGAAACCATCAAGTGACGTCACTAGACAAGCCATCGCTCGAACGGAATCCGAAAGGGAAGCGGCGAGTTGGTCGTCAGCGCGAGGGTGGGGTGACATGGAGGAGGTCATGTGAAGAGGAGATGAAAACGTGTTGGCAGACTTGGAGCCAGGTGAAGACTCTAGTAGAGAACCGAACGCAATGGAGACGCACGGCTGAAGCCCTATGTTCCTCTAGGAACTAAAGGAAACAATAATAATAATAAATAATAATACACACAATGTTCACACATTTATGATTTGTACTCATATATACAGTTCATTATTTTTGCTCATTCATGTTTTTTGTATTCAGAATTATATTCCACTGAAAGATCCCATAAAAATGATGGATAAAAACAACTTGATTTACAAAATATCTTGTGCTGACTGTCCGACTAAATATGTGGGGCAAACGCCCAGATCACCCAAAATAAGAGTGAATGAACACAAGCGCCTAACCAAAGGTCAACCAACAGGAACACAAGCTTACAAGAATCTTGAAAAAAGTTCATCGATAGCTGCACATGCATGGGAAAAAAATAAACAATATCGATTGGAACAGTGTGTGTATTCTAAAAACTAACATGAACAAATGGAAAGAAAGATTTATCTTTAAAAATTTAAAAACAATTTCGATAAAGAAAGGAAGACGAAATTTGCAGTATAAAATGATATCATTCTATTTCACAGGTTCTCATCAGCTGCAGACTACCTGAAATTTCAATGGTTATATAAATGATAATAACATACTTTAATGTTTGATTAGTAGTAGAGAAGAGATAAAATTGACGCATCCATCACTTTATACTGCAAATTTCGTCTTCCTTTCTTTATCGAAATTTATCAAGGGAACCAGTTGTATGAAGTTATTAAAAACAATTAGTTCCCTTTATGAATTTTGATAAAGCAATAAGAAGACGTAATTTGTCTGAATCGTGTAATGTATTTGCGCAACACTTTTCGAACAATCTGATCACACACGGACTTGTCATAGGAATATATATGAAATCAATAAAGAGATTAGAGGTGAGAAAATAAACTTAGGACACCTTCAAGGTCAAAGTAACAATGAAGACCACTAAACCAAATAACAGAGGTAATAGTACATCTGCTATGGTATCAAAACAAAATTTACCAGGGACGAACTGTTTTTGAACACATAAAGGTGGCTTAAACTTTCCAATTGCCAGCTAGGGCCACAAGCTTTAGGATACGCCCTCCACCAAACACGTTTTATAGATAGGTTTAAAAGATTTGTTAACGTCAATTTTATGTCGTGTCTCTATAATATGTTTCGCTAGGTCCCTTGTTCTCACCATTAATGGGTTCTGAAGATTCCGTTTGTTTCTGGAGCCATTTAGCAATATGTTCTAAAGCCCTTTCTTGTAGAGATCGATGAGTCCTCCCTATGTATGTGTGTCCACACGTACATTCAAATTGGTAAATACAGTGGGATGTGACGTCATTTTTCTCATGTTCGAAGGGCTTAGATAGAGATATTGGCTTCACGTTCTCACTTATTATAATATTAGCTGCACAAGAAGTCTTTTTAACAGCAGCGTACAATGTTTGTCTAGTTATCAAGCTGCTATGATGCCCCATATAGGGTAGGTAGCTTGATGTACACGTCTTTCTTAGTGGCGAGTTGGAGAGTGGGTTTTGGTGTTCTGACTACCTTATATCTCCTGATGAACTTGTCTGGATAATTGTTATCAACCAGAGTTTGTGTCAACTTTCTTTCTTCTTCATCAAGTGTGTCTTCAGTGCATATTCGTTGGATTCTACTGAAGAGGCACCTTACTAAGGCTCTTTTTACCTAACAGGGCAGAAACTGTGGTAATTAAGATACTGTCCTGTCCGTGGTTTAGCGGTCTTCATTGTTATTTTGACCTTCAATATGTCATTTTAACTTGAACTAGGTCTATTTTCTCACCTCTTACCTCTTTATTAATTTCATATATATTCCTATGACAAGTCCGTGTGTGATCAGATTGTTCGAAGTGTGTTGCGCAAATACATTATACGATTCAGACAAATTACGTCTTCTTATTGCTTTATCTAGGAAGACTTATAACAGAATCGATATTCATTAAAGTCACACCGGATACATGTAACAAGGGTGACTCAGTACAACTATCAGCAACTTGGAGTATAATTCTGAATACAAAAACATGAATGAACGTGGAATATAATTTAAATACAAAAGACATGAATGAGCAAATTAATGAACTATACATAAATGAGTACAAATCATAAATGTGTGAATAAAACAATTCCAACAGTGGTGTGAACAAGGGCAGTAATTTTGCTCGAAATTTTACCGCCAATAACAAAACTTATCATTGTGTGTAAACTATTGAAATATAATTATACTTTATTTGAAAAGTAATAGTAGTTTAAGCGAAAGATAGACAATACTAAAGTGTTGATTTAAGGTGTCAAGAATCAACCTATAAGTATCTTATAATTTACTAGTAGTATATAACGAGACGTTCATCGGCATGAAAACATCAAATAGCACGGAAATAGATTGGACGTCAGAGAAAGCAAATAATACAAGGTTGCGTAGATACATGGGAGGCGTGAAAAGAGCACAAAGAAAAAACTATATGAAGGCCGGAATTGGCTCAAGGCGGGATATCTGTGCAAGTGGTGCGTCGAAAATAAGGTGTACATAATTTGGCTACACAGAGATACCAAATTGCAAATAAACATCCGTTTACCACGTCTTTCGTCTTTAACTAATTACACCTTCATGTTCACAAGAAATACCTTCGTATTTAAGGGAAAATTATGTTTCTTAGGATTTTCAAATGTACTTTATATAAGCAATCATATGATTGTTGGTACCCTGTAGAAATGATTTATACGGTTGCATTTATTCTTTGGTTGTTTTTTTGTTTTTATTCCTTTACGTTACCAGTGCAACATAAGGCTTCAAGCTAGAGTCTTGAAATTTCGGTAGCACTGGTGTCTATTTTTACAGGATGGGATTGCTAGCCTTATAACCAACACTTCCTCTTTACCAGTCTTACTACTGGTTTAGCGAGGTAAAGGAGTGCGTCGGTGGCCGTGGATCGAACCCCGGACCACATGCTTGGCTGGCGAGCATTCTACCTCTGTGCCACCGACACACATTCTTTGGTAGGTACTGCTAATAAAAGTTTGGTGAATTAGCAATGCTTTAAAATGTTGTTAATTGACACTTACGATAGTTTATGAATCAAAAATTTCATATCATAGACATTTATAAAACTAGGAGAGACGAAGGAACGATTTCGTAAGCAGACATGGAGTGGACAATATCTCCATTTCACCAGTTTTGTTCCTATCCAGTATAAACGTTCTCTAGTGAAATGTTTGTTTTCAACGGCCCGAAAAATATGCACGGGCAGCACATTGATGGATGAGTTTCGACATATACATTCAGTTTTGTTAGCTAATGGTTATCCCCTGAACTTTATCACTTGTCACAGTAAAGAAAGACCGCATCTCGAAAAGACAGCTTCTGTACCAAAGAAAGCTATCTTTATTAACCTACCATTCAAGGGTGACCAGATTATGCAGTTGACAGCTCAGTGACTTTGGTCAGCAATCAAACGTACATTCTACGCCGCATCTCTTTCTCTCACATGCCAAACATTTTCAATTGCTGTACCTACGATTAAAGGACGAAGTTCTGTGGACTCTACTTCAAACTGTATCTACACGTCCACCTGCAGTTGCGGTGACACCTATATGGGTAGGACCAATAGTATGTTCTAATGTCGTCAAAACTAACATGTTCCAAAATGGTTATTAAGACACATAGCAAATCCAAGTGCAATTAATCTGAATAGAAATCCATCATCATCCATTGCAAAAGCACTTGTTATTGTCAGGTCACCAAATTATTTCAAATAACTCTAATTTAAGGTCATTAAAGGTTATGGAAGCACTTTGGGGGAATTAATCACATACATCCTAAACTATGTGTACAAAAACAACAATAGACCTCAACCTTCGCCTACCATGAACTGACTACTGTTTCCTATTTGAGCAGTAATAGTTAACTAAAATGAAAGATGATTTAAATTGAAACAGCTTTTCAGGCTTTGATAATGTCCAGTGATTATTTGGTTA